TTTGTTTGAGACAAAGTCTCACTCTGTCACCCAGGCTAGAGTACAGTGGCACAATCTCAGCTCACTGCGATCTCTGCCTCCCAGGTTCAAGCAATTTTCCTGCCTCAGCCTCCTGAGTAGCTGGAATTACAGGCATGCCCAGCTAATTTTTGTATTTTTAGTAGAAATGGGGTTTTGCCATATGACACAGGCTGGTCTCGAACTCATGACCTTAAGCAATCTGCCTGCCTCTGCCTCCCAAAGTGCTAGGATTATAGGCATGAGCCACCGCGCCCAGTCAGCTTCTTGAAACATTCTGTTGAAGTAGAATGCACAAAGAGAAGGTTGCACACATCCTAGGTATACAGCCTGAGGCAACTTCAGAAGGTGAACACCCCATGGAACTAGCACCCCAAACAAGAAGCAGATCATTATCAACCCCACAAATCCCCCACTTCAAAGGTAACCACTACCCCACTTCTCACACTACGGATGAATTTGACCCTTTACAGCAACTTTTACCAGGAGTTATTTCTGGGCATTGATCTTTTTAAAATCTTATGCACTTAGATAAGATTTGCTGGTGTGACATATGCTTGCGTTTTATGGAACGGGAGTGACAGGACCGTTTCCCCCTGCTTGCTTTCCTCTGGGCCCACAGACTGGGAACTTCTGCATTCTTGAAAAGTAACTCTTTTTCTTTCTTCCACTCCTTCACTCACTCCTGTCCACAGGAGGTGTATTGACTAGTAGAATGGGGAGAGGCCTTCATCTCTGTCCCAGTCCTCTCTCTGGGGAGGATCAAGCCCCAAACAGGCAGGACACCTCGTGGTTTAGAGACATGCTGGGTTCAAATCCTAGCTCTGCTGTTTACACGTTGTGTGACTAGGGAAAGTCACATAACCTCTCTGGGCCTTAGTTTTCCCATCTGTAAAATGGGATGACAGGTCCTACATTAAGGGCTGATAAGAGGATCAAATAAATGAAGGTAAGTAGAGCACAAAGTCCAGCTCCCAGCCTGTGTCAAGGGCTGTAACTGTTGTCGAAGGTCTCTGGTTCCAAACAGCCCACTCCTCTTTCTATTTTGGAGGTGGGTTATCTGCAGGAAGGAGGGTCTGTCTGTGCAGAAAACTGACCCAGGGCCTGCCAATGAGAGGCCCTTCCCTGTCAGCCCCCTAGTATGTGCTCCATCAATGCTGGTCCAATGAATTACAACTGGTGAATGAGTGGATGAGTGAATGGATGATGTCACAGAGGCCTCTCCCAATCAGCATGTGTAAAATCGACCTTGTCACTTCTTCCAAACTTTCTTCGTGATCCCTATTCTGGGGGCCAGAACTTCCCTCTGCCCTGTCCCCACACCAGAATTTTGGTGTCGCCCCGGGCTTACCCCTGTTCCATCACCTTTCATGCCCCACAGGTTTGGAAATGTCATCGGGTCCCCAACTCTATATGCCCTGGGTCCCGCTCCCACAGCCATGCTGCCTTAGCCCCTGTCCTCCCTCCAAGCCGAAATTCCATGCCAGCTCTGCTACCCACTCACTGTGGGACCTGAAGCAAGCCATTCGGTTTCTCTCTGCCTCAGTTTCCTCATCTGTAAAGGGGGAAACCATGCTAACAATCTCACAGGAATCATGAGTTAATCATGAGGGTTAATGGGTGTCGAGTTACTCGGTGAGTTATAATAAGATGCGCTTGGAATGGCATCAAACAGCTGGGTGCAGCAGCTCACGCCTGTAATCCTAGCACTTTGGGAGGCCAAGGCAGATGCATCACGAGGTCAGGAGATCGAGACCATCCTGGCTAGTATGGTGAAACCTCGTCTCTACTAAAAATACAAAAAAATTAGCCAGACATGGTAGTGTGTGCCTGTAATCCCAGGTACTTGGGAGACTGAGGCAGCAGAATCACTTGAACCCAGGAGGCAGAAGTTGCAATGAGCCAAGACCACACCATTGCACTCCAGCCTGGGTGACAGAGTGAGACTCAGTCTCAAAAAAAAAAAAAATAGTATCAAGCTTGTAACATGCACAAGGTGATGACCACTGCCCCTCCTGGTGTTCCCCAAATGTACCTGGCACATCTGTACCTCAGGACCTTTGCACTTGCTGTGTCCTCTGCACAGAGCCCCTCCCCCCAGACATCTGCCAGTCTCAGTCCCCACCTCCTCCAGGTCCTCACTCAATAGCTCCCTCTCAGTGGAGACTTTCCTAGACACCCTTCTTAAAATAGCAACCCCCAGCCCCAACTCCTACTCTCAAACCCTCTCCCTGTTTTATTTTTCTCCATAGCAGTCATCACCACTCAGCATAATTCATATTTTAGCTGCTTATTTCAATTGTCATCTGTCTACCTCGGTGACTGTGAGCTCCATGAAGGCGGGGCCATTTCTGTCTTTACTATTGTACACTCTGTGCATTGAACACTGCTTGGCACTGAGTAGGTGCTCAAGAAATAGATGTTAAATGAATGAATAATGTCACCCCAGTCATATTTTCACCCAAACCTCCCACTGTTCTGCCCTCAACTTCAGTGTCTCCCAAACGTACCTTGCTATGCCACCTTGCCTGTGCATATGCTGTTTCCTTCCCTGCTATGCCTGTGAAATTCCTACTATCCCTAAAACCCCAGGTCTGGTGTGTCCTCCTCTCTGGGATATCCAAGAATAAACTCCTGGCATGCAGTTAACTTCTTCCTTTGGCCTATGCCACTGTGCCCAGCACTTATCTCTGCACTATCATGCTTTGTTGACCAGTTTGTGCCCCTCGCCCTTACACCTGCACCATGAGTCAATAAATCCCATTTCTGGCTTGAGCCAGCCAGAGTTAGATTCCTGACATGATTGGGAGATGGATGGGACTCTCATGTACTCACTGAGAGTAAGTATGTGTTGTTTCTCATGTATGAGATGAATGTATAAATGAAAGAACCACTGGTTTTCTTATGTTGATGTTTTATTCCTCAAAAAAGAAAACATTTGGTCTCTGACTGAAAGGAATGTGTTTGAGAATTCTGTTTGGTTTTACTCATAGTATATGGATTAAAACTCAATCAGTGGTTAGTGGATGGATAAATGGAGTAGTGGGCAGATGGGTGAATGGGTTGGTAGGTGGTCTTATGACTGGATGTGTGAATAGATGCAGATGGATCAATGAGTGAGTCGGTATATGGGTGGATGCATGCTAGCCACACCCTCACCACAGCCAACAGGAGTAGAGGGATGAATAGGTGGGTGGACAGGTGGGTGGATAGGGGATGGGTATGTAGGTGGGTGAAGAGATGGATTGATGTAATGTGGATGAAAGGGTGAATGAGCAGGTATATGGGTAACTGGATATGTGGATGGATGATGGATGGATGGATGATGGATGGATGAAATGGGCATATGGATGCATAGGGGATGAAAGGTTGGGTAAATAAATGAGTGGACAGATGAATGGTTGGTGGATGCTCAATGGGTAGATGAATGAATGGATGGGTGAATGGAAAGGTGGGAGACAGCTCAGGTATAGGGATGAGTTGATACATGTATGGATGGGTGGATGGATGGGTGAATGGATGGATGGATGGATGGATGGATGGATGCGTAGATGAACAAATGAATGGA